AGGGATAGAGAGTTAGAAACATCGATGAGAGAGAATCATCTATCAGCTGCCTCTTGCACACCCTCCACTGGGTATGTGCCTGCTACCAAGGTACATACCCCTGACTAGAATCGAACCCGGGAGCTTTCAGCCCGCAGGCCAATGCCCTATCCACTCAGCCAAACCGGTTTCGGCTTAAAACATATTTTTATTGATTTCAGAGAGGGAGAACCCCTGGCTGCCTCCTGCACGCCCCCCACTGGGGATCATCAAGCCTGTGCCCTGCCCGGGAATCGAACCCAGACCTCCTGGTTCATAGGTCGGTGCTCAACCACTAAGCCACACCGGCCGGGCCCTCAGAGGCCTCTTCGAAGGTCAGGAGAGTTGTCAGGGCCACGTGATAAATGGCCCCCACCCCCAGCCCAGGCGCTGCTGGCCACATGGAGGGCCAGCAGGGACACTGGCCAGCAGGGACACGAACTCATGGGTGCACCCAGCTCACCCCCCACCTGCAGGCCCAGAGAGGCGCGGCTGGGCTCGAGGGGGGCCTGAACCTCCGGGAGGACCTGGTCAGGGTCTGTCAGCCCCCCAGTCCCCGAGCACCCACCCCTCACCCCAGGCGGCTCGGGTGGGAGCAGCCGTCCTGCCCACCCTGGGCCACTGCCACCCACGGCCGGGCACCCGCAGGGCCCCACTCTCCTGGGACTGCCGGGGACCCGGGCTCCACTCTGCCTGGCCGGCAGAAGGGGCTCCTGTCTCACCCTCACCCCCGCCACACCCAGGCCTGGGAGCCCCTGCCCCGGCACTCCATCGGCCCCGGGTGCGAGCCCAGCTCCGGGCGGGCGGGCGGCTGCTGTGTTTACTGTCCTGGACAATAGGGCTCTGTGGTCTGGACACCCCCGCCCCCCCAGACCGTGCCAGTCTCCGCCTGCCCCGAGCCAGGGTCCAGCCTGAGCTGGCCGAGGAGACGTCGTGGGCCCCCACAGCCAGGGATGGGCACGGGCCACACGCCGGCATGCACACGGAGTGAGGGCGGCCGGGGTCACAGCCCGCCGGCCCCACCCACGCCCGCCCTGCCAGGGGCACCTCCCGAGGGTAACGGCAGCCACGGGCCCGCTGCCTCCTCATCGCTATAGCAACGCTGCACACGGGCTGCTGGGAGGCGGAGAGGCCTGCCCGAGGGCGGGTGGCTCCAGGGGCATCTGGTTACGGGCAGGCAGCACCCGTCCAGCCCCGCCCGGGCACCCCACCCGGGGGCGTGCAAGGCGGTCAAATTCCTGTTCCTAAGGCCATGCCGGGGGGCCCCCTGTGTGGTCCCCGGGGCCTGGGTGCCCACCCCAGGCCTGAGCCCCTCCCACGGGGTCCACGGTGGAGCAGGCGAGACCTAATGATGGAGGTGCCGCCCCAGGGGGGACCCCTGTACCCCTAAGAGGCGAGAGGCCACCCCGTGGAGCCGGCCAAGGGGCCTCTCTCACCTGTGCCAGCCACCTCGGGCCAAGGACTCCACCTGCCTGCCCAGCCCCTGCTCCCAGCAGCCCCTGGGGGAGGGGGCCTTCCCACCAAGGCTGGGGGGCTGATACTAACGCATCAGCCCCCCCCTCTCCTGAGCCCACCCCGCTGTCCGCTGTCCGTGGTGACCCAAAACCCAGGCCGGGCAGCTGCCCCAGGCCACCTGGGCTGCGGCCTGGCAGGGTGTCCGAGCCTGGCTCCCGCCCAGGGCCAGGTGCTCGGGGCCTCCTGCCAGCCCTGGCCATGGCGATGCCGGTCCCCACGGCGCAGGAGCTGTCAGCCCAGGGCTCGGGCCCGGGGGACAGGAGCCGCCTGGGCCCCAGGGCAAGAGCGGCCACCCCCAGGCCCCCGAGGGACCCTGGCCCGCAGCTCCGGTGGGAAAGTCCCCGGGGCCACTCAGAAACCCAAGCTGCTGCCTGCCTGTGGGGCCCTCCCGGGTGCGAGGACGGCGAGGGCCAGCGTGACGCCATGCACACCGGCCGGCCCCGTGCCTCCTCACCGGCTCCGTCCTGGCAGTGGCCGCCCTGAGCCCCCCAGAGCCAGGGCGCCCGGGTCACAGCCCCCACCAGCACCCTGGCCCGGAGGCTGGGGCAGGGGCAGGAGCGGGTCGGCCTGGGGAGGACTCCCCAGAGGACACAGGGTGCGGGCCGCAAGGGCACTCCCGGGGGAGGGAGCTCGGCCGGGGTGGACACGGCGGGGAGGCCGCGAGGGCAGAGAACAGTGCGGGGAGGGGCGGGGGTCCCCGCGGGGCTCGGGGGCGGGGCCCAGGGACCACGGAGCCCCGGAGCTGCATGGAGGCCGGCCGGCCCTCGGTTCCCGGCGCCGGGGCCGCTGTCCCCGCCTCTGACCGGCCGGAGCCCGGAGCGCCGCGGAGGGCGCCGGTGACTCAGCGGGCGCGATGGGGCGGCGGCTGGCCACGGGGGTCCCCGCACCCCAGGCCGGAGCGGGGCCGCGGGGAGGGGGCTGCGGCCGGTGCCCATCGCGCCCTCCTCGCGCCCCCGGCCGCTCCAGTGCGCGGGGAGGAGACGAGGGAGGGGAGCCGCCAGCCCGGGGCGCGGGGCGCGGGGCGCGGGGCGCGGGTTGCGGGGTGCGGGGAACGGGGAGCGGGGACCGGAGCGGGGAGCGGGGCGCGGGCCGGCGGGCGGGGTGGGCAGAGGGGAGAGCGGGGCGCGGGGAGGGGCTGGCGGGGCGCGGGCCGCGCTCACCGGGCTCCGGCGCTTGAGCGTCACGTTCTTCCAGAGCAGCAGCTGCAGCTGGTGCAGGAAGCCCATGGCGGCTCCGGCCTCCGCGGCTCCTCCGCGCGCCCGGGCCTCCCTGCGCCGCCGCTCGGCCGCTCGGCATCGCCCGCGGGGCGGGGCTCCGTCCGCGGCGCTGGCTCCGCCCGGAGCGCGACTGCGCCGCCCGCCCCGCTTAAAGGCGCCGCGGCCCCGCCTGAACCCCACCCCGCGCCCCGGTCCCCACCCCGCACCCCAAACCCCATACCGCACCCCAAACCCTACACCGCGCCCCGGTCCCCACCCCGCACCCCAAACCCCACACCGCACCCCAAACCCTACACTGCGCCCCGGTCCCCACCCCGCGCCCCGGTCCCCACCCCGCACCCCAAACCCCATACCGCACCCCAAACCCTACACCGCGCCCCGGTCCCCACCCCGCGCCCCAAACCCCATACCGCACCCCAAACCCTACACCGCGTCCCGGTTCCCACACCGCGTCCCGATCCCCACACTGAACCCCGATCCCCAGACGAACCCCCAGGGCGCTCTGCTCCGGGTCACCAGGTGCATGTGCAGCCTCCACCCCGCCCCGTGGGGGCGCCCCTGAGGCTCAGCCCCATCGGGTCCGCCCCTCCCGCCGCCCTCGCAGCCGCAGGGGCAGGCGTGTCAGCCTGAGGCCGGCGGGCAGGGCTCCTGGGGAGCGAGAAGGGCGCCCCATGGAGAGCCGCCTGCGCCCTGGAGGCCGCGGGGACCCGCCCGCCCCGCGCGCCCTCCCCACGGGCTCCCCGAGGCTCCGCGGAGCGCGCTGCCGGCGGCGCTGCCGGGCCCGCCCCCCGGTCCTGGGCGCCGGGAGGACGGAGCCGCCCGGCGGCGGGGAGCGGCGGGGCTGGGGGACGGGGCTGCCCTCCGCGGGGCTCCCTCCCTCCCGCACCGGGGGCCGCCGGGGGGCACGGGGCTCCGGGCCGGGTGAGCCCGCGGGGGCGGCCGGGCGCCCGCGGAGGTGGCCGTGCGCCTGGGCCGCCCGCGGGAAGGTTCAGGGGCGATTCCCCAGGCGGCCCACAGGGGGCAGCAGAGGGCAGGCCGGCCCTGCACCCGGGAGCCCCAGGGCTCAGCTGCCTGGCCCGGCCTCAGTTTCCCCACCTGTGCTTGGGAACGTGGGTCGTGTGCCGGCCAGGATCCGGGGTGCAGAGAGCGTCACACGCACGGACCGGCGGACCCGGGGTGGGGAGCGGCGTCCGGCCCTCCCGCCCCTCCCGGCCCCTCTGCGAAGTGGGAGCGGGCCCGCTGGGGCAGGTGGTGGGCACGACCCCCCCCAGCCTACCCTGCGGCCCGAGGCCGCTTCCCTCTCCCGATCAGCACACGGGGGGCCGTTAGGTCAGGGCCGGAAGTCACTGACAGGCCTTTCCCACAAGCCGCTGCCAAGGAGGCGGGCAGTTTCCTGTCCCACGGATGCCCACCCCCCGCTGGGGCAGCGACAAGTCTGAGCTCCTATCACAGGTGCCCGAGCTGTTGGGGCCCCTGCCGGCACCCCCAGCCCCTCCTCACTCAGCCGCCTGCATCCTGCATTGGGGGGCGGGGGGGCCTTGCTACCACCAGCGCCTGGCAGAGGCTCCCGGACACCATGCAGACCCGCCTGAGAATGGGCACCTTCAGCCCGCAGAGCCAGGCTGCGGACTAGGCCCCGCCCCCAGCCCCTGGGTCTCTGACTGGAAGCCTGTCCGCGGGCGTGGGAGGAGCAGGGGGCTGGGCAGGGCGTGCAGGGGAGGCGGCTCTGGCAGGGGGAGTGCCGAGGCCTTGAGGTGGCACCGGCAGATCCCTGCAGGGGACACAGAGGCCCGCGTGGCTGGGTGGCAGATACGGGGGTCCCGTGCTCCCCACATGTGACACCTGCTGTCCTCGTCTGTGTTTCTTTATTGTCGCCGTCCCCCCCGCCCCCCCAGGGGACGGAGATGCAGGACGCCCGGAACAGCCTGGCCCGGCCGGCTCAGGCTCCGGCAGCTGCGGGCCGCGTTCCGGCCTCCAGGCTCCGGAACTGTGATCTGCGTGGGCAGTGCGGCCGGCGCCCCGTCCGAGGACAGCCTTGACCGACCCAAGATTTGATCACGATGGGGGGCGGGTTCTCAGCGGCCTCGGCTCTGATCCACCTCCGCAGCATGCACCCCTCGCCGCTCTCGCTTCCGCCACGGATGCCTCCTCCTCCAGGCAGCCTGCCCAGACCGGCCCACCCTCCCTGGTCCTCCCGCCCCTGGGCCTCGGGCTCCAGCCTGGAGGGGAGGGGCCACCGGCCCAGTCTCTGCTTTAAATGCCCAGCTGAGCCCCCACCCCGCCTGCTCCCAGCCGGGCCGAGGCCCTCAGGCCTGGAACCAGCCCTGCAGGTCCTGGTAGACCTGGTCCCGGGGCAGGTGGGGGTACCGGGTGCAGATGGCGCAGAAGCGCTGCTCCCAGCTGGCCACCCGCTGCACCTGGAACCACTCCCGCCAGCGGAAGTAGCTGCGGTACTGGCTCTCGTTCATGCCCCGCAGGAAGGCGGCCAGCTCGCGGGCCGAGCCGAAGTCGTCCACGTGCACGAAGGCGTCGGCCGGCACCAGGGCCTCGTAGGAGGCCCGCGGGGGCCCCAGCACCACGGGCACCGTGCCGGCCGCCAGGGCGTTGTGCCAGAACTTCTCGGTGACGTAGTCGCGGTGCTGCGAGTTCTCGAAGGCCAGGTAGAAGCGGTAGCGGGCCACGGTGGGCAGCAGGCAGTCGGCGCACAGCGGCCGCCGGTTGGCCTGGCCGAACACGTCCACCGGCAGGTGGGGCGCCAGCTGCCGGTACAGCTGCACACGCCGCTGATGGGCCTGGAAGTTGCTGACCACCCAGGCGGCCACCTTGCTCTTGGCGGGCACCGGGGGCGCGGGCCCCGCCCGGGGCTCCAGGCGGCCGTAGGGCATGAAGATGTCCGAGTCCCGCCGGTAGCTCAGCACCCAGTTGAAGACGCCCCGGAATCGGTGGAGGCCGTGCGTGTGGCTGGGCGACTCCAGGGAGGCCCACACCCAGGGCTGCCCAGGCGGCCGCTGGGCCAGGGGCAGGCGGGCCTGCCCGGTCTGCAGCTCCCGGTGGTGGAAGACCACAGCGTCGGCGAGGGCCAGCAGGCTGCGGTTGGTGCTCAGGGTGCAGTGGGCCACGCCGAGGCGGGCGCAGGTGTCGCTGCGCAGCTCCGGGGGCCGGCGGGCAAAGGGCCAGTTCCAGACCAGGATGGTGAGCGTGCGCTGGGGCGCGGGGGCTCCCCCGGGGGCCTCCCAGAACAGCCACAGCAGCCAGAGGGCCGAGAACAGGGAGGCCCCGGACCAGGCCCTCCAGGGGCCCCAGCATCTGGGCACAGCCAGGCCCTGCACAGGACACAGGAAGACAGCCTGTCTCCCTGGCTCACCGCGCCCGTCCCCCCGGCCGGGGCCCCCGGACACTCACCAGCATTCCTCGCCCCCGCTCTCAGGATTGTCGCCCACAAACCCGGTTCTGAAATCGCGGCCTCCGGGGCGGCACCAGCAATCACGGCTGCTCGCTGGCTGGGCCCCACCTGGGAGCTCCTTTCATCTGCTCAGAGGGAGGAAACTGGGTGTCTTCCCAGCCCCGCCCCGGCCCCCACCCCCTCCCTGGGGGTGACCTTGGTGCGAACCACCACCCTCACCCCACCTCTCCTCCAGGCCTCCGGCTGCCGGGCAGGTGGTTCCAGCGGCGCCCAGCTGCACCCAACCCCGTGCCCCCGCTGGCCCCGGACAGGGAGGTCACCCCCGAAGGGCTGGAGGTCACCGCCCAGGCCCAGGGCACCCGTGGAGGGCAGGCATCTTCCCTGGAGGCCACCGAGCCCCAGGCCAGGCCACCGCCCCTCCTGCGTGCGGGGGCCTGGCCCACCTCCCTGCTCCCCGCCTGCGCCCGGCGGCCGTGGGCGCCCGGCCCCTCGCTGGCCCACCTCGCCCGCTGCCCACCCCGTCCAGACACCTGTGCCAGCACGAGGGCTCCCGGGGCGGGGTCCATCCCAGGGTCCTGAGAGTGTCCGCCCAGGCCAGGCCCGGGCGCCCCCCGCAGGTGGCAGCGGCCAGGCGGGGCCGGCCGGGGGGCGCTGCAGGGCCTCCTCCCCCAGGACACGTGTCCATAGCGGCTCCGGGCGCGGGGCGGGGGCCCCGGTCTGCGAGGGGAAGGCTGCTGGGGGCTCCGGGCCCCTCCTCCAGGCCCACGGCTCAGGATGGGGGGCAGGGAGGGGGCTTTCCAGGCTGGAAAGGGAAGGAGTCCTGGTGTCCGGGCGCTGGCGGCCGGCCGGCGGGCAGGGGGCTGGCAACGGCTCCAGGAAGAGGAAGGCGAGCATAGAGCCCTCTCCTCCCCCACCCGCAGCCCGGGTCCGCCTGCAGGTCCAGTTCCTTCCCCTTTCGCGCGGTGCCTCCGAGCTGCAGGTGCGCAGGCGCCCCCGCCCCGCCTGCACCCCCTCGGCCGAGCGGCGCCCTTCGGCGTGCTTGTCCTGGCAGACTCAGGCCAGGATGCGTATCCGGGAGGCCTCAGGCTAGCTGGCTCCTTGGAACGGCTTCCAGGAACAGTGGGCCGGGGCTGAGAAGGCCACCGCCTGCCCGGCTGTCCTGGTCCCCCAGGACCCCGCTGCCTTCCGGGGACCCAAGGGGCCCGTCGCGTCCAGAAGGTCCAGAAGGAGGCCGCTTGGCCCCTGGGGGCTCTGCACTCCCAGGAGGACCTCTGGCGGTGGTGGGTCGCGATCAAGATCGGAGAGGGAGGGGGCGGTGGGGCTGGCAGCCACCTGCCTGGCAGGCGCAAGGTGTGGGCACGCAGCCAGGCCTGGCTCCCAGCTGTCACCTGCCCCTGCCCTCCGGGCGCCTCTGTGTTTGGGAAATGCCAACGTGGTACCCGGCCGTTGGCCCCCTCCCCCCGGGCACCTCTGGGCGGGCAGGGCACCCGGAGGAGCCACACCCTGCTCCTCCCCGGGCAGTGCCCGCGGGCGGCACACGGAAGGAGCTGATCCCGCCGCAGCTGGTTTCTGGTTCCCTGACCCCTGCCCTTCCTGTTTGCCAGGCTGAACCCCTGCCTCCGGCCTCACCCGCCCACCACCTGCTCCCTTCCTGGGTGGATGCGAAAGGGGCTGGAGCCTTGGCCCTGGCTCTGCCCCCCGCCCAGGGCCTGCGCCCGCCTGCACCCTGGGAACCCGCCGCTGTGGGACGGCTTCGAGGTTTGGCCCAGAAACAGGTCAGAACGAGAGCTCTGGTGGGAGAGGGTGAGAGGCCTGAGTCAAAGGGAAAGTGGGGGCCCCTCCTGCCAGCTCCTTTCCGACCTCGTGACGCACGGGGTGCAGGCGGCACCGGTGCCAGCTCACAGCTCCCCACCCCCTCGCTCTGCAGCTGAGCCCTCCCCGGGGGCTGGGCACTCACAGAAGGTGGGGATCTCTCACCCCGCGGCCCCCCCGCCCCCCGTCACCACCCCTGGCAGACGACACCCTGTGGAGCTCAGGCCCAGGGGCACCTCGGGAGAGAGGGCCAGCGCCCAGCGCCCAGCTGCCCCAGGGCGGCCTGGCTCCGGGGGAGTGGAGGGAGCCAGAGGGAAGCTATTGGGGGAGGGGGTAGCTCCCCGCAGCCCTCAGGAAGGGGGGTGCACTGAGGCTGAGGTGCAGCCCGGAGGGCAGCACCCGGTGGTGCCAGGAGCCATCGGACCACCTGGGCCCAGGGTGTCCTGCAGGTGCCACCCCTCCCCTCCAGTGCCCCCCACTCTCCCCCGCAGGCTCCCAGGCGCGGGACACAGCCACAGCCTGTCCGAGAGGAGCCCCAGGACTGCTGGACGTGCCTGGCTCTGGCTCACCCTCTGTTCTCTTCTGAGACCCAAGACCCACTCCTGGGGGGGGGACTCCGAATCCAGACTTGGCCAGGATTGGGGTCCCGTGGAGCCAGGGCTTCCCTGAGCCCCAAACCCTGGCCGCAGGGCAGCCCCCCACGCCCCGGGGCCTGTGGGAGGAAGGGGGTTGTGGGAGTTCGGACAAAAGCAGGGGCTGTTGGCCACGGTTCAGTTCCGGGTCGGGGCCCCTCGCCCAGAAGTCCGCAGTCCCCCCTCGCTCCCAGGCCCGGGCCTGCGGCTCCATCACGGCCACGGCCGCCGGGCCGGCACCCTCTCTGCCGGGCAGCAGGGACTCTGCGGACGGGGCGGCCGAGGAGGGAGAAGACAGGACGTACCCAATGGCTGCTCTGCCGGGAGCCAGGGACCACCGCGGAGCAGGAGGCTGGAGAGGGAGCGACGGACCTGAGGACACTATCTGCAGGGTCCAGCGGGCGAGGCGGGTGGGCTGGGCCGACACGCCAGGTGCCAGGCAACCTTTGTTGTCTGCGCCCCGTTTACACTCTGGTGGCACAGGTGAGAGAACAGCGGGCACCACCCACCCTTGTCCCGCTCAGGCGCCCGCCCCTGGCACCGCCTCCTCCGGGGCCCACACGGCTGAGGGCCAGCCGAGGCCCAGGCCAGGGGTCCGGGGAGGGTATGCCCCAGCCTGGGTGGGTGCTGGTCCGAGGAGCCTGCAGCTTTATTTATTTATTTTTAAATACATTTTATTGATTTTTTACAGAGAGGAAGGGAGAGAGATAGAGAGCCAGAAACGCTGATGAGAGAGAAACATCGACCAGCTACCTCCTGCACACCCCCCACCGGGGATGTACACCGGGGATGTGGATGGAACCTGGGACCCTTCAGTCTGCAGGCCGACGCTCTATCCACTGAGCCACACCGGTCAGGGCTCTGGGTTGTTTTTTCAAATATATTTTTACTAGAGCCCTGGGGGGTGTCCAACTGGCTTAGTGGAGGCGAGAGGCTCCTGCCACCGCCGCTGTGCTCACCAGCAGTGAACCAGGAGCCGCACTAACTACCAAGGGGCAGCACCTACGTTGTCTGCCCTCTAGTGGCCGGTGTGCATCATAGCACCCTGTCGTTCCCCCATACAGTCAATTTGCATATTGCAATCATTGACCCTCCTGCACACCCACCACTGGGGATCAAGCTCACAACCCAGGCCTGTGCCCTGACTTGGAATCAAACCCTGACCTCCTGGTTCATAGATCGAGGCTCAACCACTGAGCCACACCAGCCGACCACCAGGGACTTCCGAACCCAGTGCTTCGCCTGCAGGGCACACGGTCTGGGCCCCTGAATCCACAAACCCCTTCTCCAGGCCCAGCCGCAGCAGCTCTGACCAGACAGTACCCTCCACACCCACTCGGGGCCTCCTGGCTCCACAGAGAGAGGCTGAGGGGGGCCAAGACCCTGCTCCTGGTATTGGTGTAGCTCTCTCTCTCTATATATATATATTTTTTTAATTGATTTTGTACAGAGAGGAAGGGAGAGAGAGAGTTAGAAACATCGATGAGAGAGAGTCATCAATCAGCTGCCTCTTGCACACCCCCTACTGGGGATATGCCCGCAACCAAGGTACATGCCCTTGACCGGAATCGAACCCGGAACCCTTCAGTCCCCAAGCGGACGCTCTATCCATTGAGCCAAACCGGCCCCGGCTGCTCCTGGTATTGGGATCCCCTCCCCCTATCTCCCCTCGCAGCCCATCCCGTGCCCCACGGTGCCCCCTGCCTGGCAGCACCCCCACGTACGGTGCAGGGTTCCGGGACCTGTGTGGCGCCTCTGACAAAGCCACTCAGGCTGTGTCCTGGTCCCCCTGCTTCCGACCCCGGTGGACACGGTGTTTGTGGGGATTGGGGACCGGACCGCTGTGCCCTGCAGGCAAAGACGGAGGCTCTGGGGGCCATGCCACGTGTCCGAGGGCGCCCGATGCCCAGCCCTTTTTAAAAATATATATTTTTATTTTTATTGACTTCAGAGAGGAAGGGAGAGAAACATCTATGATGAGAGAGCATCACGGATCGGCTGCCTCCTGCATGCCCCTCATGGGCAATCGAGCTCGCAACCAAGGCCTGTGCTCTGACCGGGAGTCAAACCGCAACCTCCTGGGTCACAGGTCAACGCTCACCACGGAGCCCGCCGGCCGGGCCACCAGCCCTTCGTGTCACACGTGGGAAGGATTGGAAGGGCAGCAGCAACTCCCCATCTGCCTGGCCCTGCACCGCCCCTCCCCCCCCCGGGGGCAGACTGTCAGAGGGGTGAGGCCTAGAGGAGGAGGGGGATGGGGTGGCGAGGCTGGCCCCCGCAGGGCCCAGCGGTGCCCCCTCTGGCCCTCCCCCAGGACCAGGGGCTGAGGGTAGTCTCCAGCACGGAGCCCAGATCTGAAAGCTCTTTAATGGGCTGGTCTCCGCACCCATCCCTGCCGGCCTCTCCTCCAGTCCCTGCTCTCCGGCCCCATGCAGGAGGAGCAGAGGGGTCCTGTCCCCACAGGGGGTTCCGCGGGCGCCCCAGTCCAGACACAGGAACGGCCAGGCTCAGAGCGGTTCTTTATTGGGCAATGGGGGTCCAGGGCCCCCGGGGGCGCGGGGTCCTCGGGCGA